GACAGCATGTGCTAAGGCTCCACTCCTGCAGATGACACCAAGGACGAGAACTGTAAAGGGGGTCTAATTATCCTGGACCCACCTCAGAGAGTTTGTGCTGGCCATGCAAGGAATTTACACAGCACATCCAAACCTCCCATTCAGAAGGCTCTCCGTGAGAAATACTAGAAGGGAAAAAGACTGCAGCTGTGTGTGCTGCAATGAAACCTGCAGTGTCGCTTTCCTGTGCAATGGCACTACAGCAACACACCGTGTTTTTTTGTATAAGGAGAAACACCTTCCTCAAAACTGCTATGGCTTCTTCTTCTGTTTGCTCCCTTAATGGATGCTGAAGATATTTAATTAATTTCAAAGTTGACACTGGTTAATGTCCCAATAACAACACTGCAAATGCCTCAAAATACTGTTCTATATATGTTTCCTAAGCAATACTGGAACATGCTAGGAGGAAGTGAAGTAATACTGATCTCTTCCACAACATGCCAACTAAGCAGATTTGAGCTTGCTTAGAAAGCGCTGATAAGTAAAAACTGCTTAACAGAAAACCTATTTGAGTTCACACTCACCAAATGACAACCTAAAATTAAGAGAAAAAGGAAAGAATACCCTTTTAAAAATTTTCAACGTGTTAAGACTATATTTTTTCTATTTCCCTTCTTTTCTATTTTCCCTTTTTTCTATTTCCCAAAATAAGACAACTCTACAGAGAGAGACCAAGAGCTGAGACAATACTATGACCACATTCAAACACTTTCATAAAAAAGAAAGAATTTTGGGATTTTCAGTCCTACAAACTCTGTTTCCAAATGGTAAATAATTACAATTCGAGCCTAATGATAAACGACTTTTCTCGGAGGAAATCTGGAACCAATCTTCATCATCAGACTTGCTTAATAAAAGAACATCCAACTGACTTGTATGTGGTTTCTGTAGGAAAAAGAGTCACTCTGCAACTCTAATTCATATCCAATATGTATTTGTACATTAGATTTGCACATTTCAAACATTCAGACATTTTCAGATAAGAAACACAGTAGCAATATCAGAAACATCTGAATTCCTCTTAATTTAGAAAAGTCAGTGTTGAGCAACAGATGTGCTCTCATGTGCAAAGAAGTAAAAATGCATACTTGAACCCAAGATTCTCCAGTTCCTGAACTGTTATCTCCAAGAGAGTAAACCTCTGGAGTACATCTCCACATGACACATTTATCTAAAGTGGCTGCACACGTATAATGATGGCTTTTGTTTAGTGATCGTGGTCATTTTGAGTTTGTTTAAATACTGCAGCTGAATGCTTATAAACTAATCCCAGAACATTTTGAAATGCTTCAAAGCTTTTAGCGGGGGAGCCTCTTGCCTAGGCTCTGTAGATGAAGCCGACCACAGTTCACTGGAACCAGCCAGCTCTGATAAGTAAGATGAAAGCAGACATTTCCTGAAAATACCTTGAAAGCTTTCCATTAGACTGTACCAGGGGTATACACTAAACACAGCAAGTGCCCGTGCTCGTACAGCAACCAACCTTCACACTGCTTTCTCCATTCTTTCTTCAACTACTGTATTTGTGTCTATCCAGCTGCTGCATCTGACATCTTGCAGAGTTCTTTGGGGTCATGATGCAACTTCAGCTTTCTACTTTACCGTACGTCATAAAGCAGCTATGACTTCAACAAAAAATTCTGTTTAACGTCCTAAGCATGGCAACAGGAAGACACAGAAATCTACCACTGCCAAAATTATTACAAATGACAGACAAATGAGAAATCTGACTGACGCACCATTTTAAAGAGTCACCACGACAGGCATGCATGCAATTACTCGAACGCAATTCTCCGGCTGTCAAAGCGTACTTTAAGAAGGTCGATACAGCACTGCTGAACGTGCTGGTCAAAGACCGGAGTGCCTCAGGCTAGATTTTCAATAAAGGCTGAGACTGGCTGTTCACATCTTACACGATAATTTGATTGAATAAATCCAGCTGTTCACTAGGAACAGGAAATGCTCCACAGTTGCTGTCTCCAGTATTTTATACTTCTAGAAAGACAGTCATACCGTCTAGTTTCAGACACTTTATTTCAGAGCAATGAATCAAAAGCCCAGGTTTCTTTAACAGTCAGTAGACTCAAGGTCACACGAGCACTTTCAAGCTTCTCAAGGCCCAGCAGACTATAAAGGGAGCCTAGGTCTAATTTAAGTACCAAAATGAGGTGTTATGACTATCCAACATGCTGTATCCCACAAAGCATTAATATGCACACTCCAATGAAGAGAGGATTGCATTATCATAACATAATACAAAGTATTAAGCCGTGATGACAGCTGAATTCAATACAGCAGTAATGATGATAGTTGTTCTGCCCAGCAGCGTATCACAGAAAGGGCCAGGGCACTCTGAAAGAGCACTGTGAAGTTAGGTACGCTCTTCGAGTCCTCAGCACACACTAGCCCTATACGAGAAGGAAGTGGCGAGCCACAATATCGATGCACAAAATAGGGTGCAAGCAAAGTCCAACAGTTGCTACTTTAAACAAAACAACCCTGCTCCTTCCCAAACAAAACAAAAAATATTTGAGGTCTTACTAGTTTCTTTTGAGGTATATCCTGAAATCCCATGCTCACTTTGCTTTCTGTTGTCTCTGTTCTTATAACTCCTGCATCCCAGGGTACCTGTAATATGGTCTTTCATCCTCCTGGAAAGAGGAAGTATTATTCTCTTCCAGGGTGTTGCTTAAGCTGCTTCACTGTTTAGTAAAATGGCCATCCTGTGTCTGGGACTAGGTTGAGACCTGTGATTATTCTGAAAATGCCCTTTCAGTCAGAGAACCTAGTAAAGAGCCACTCTGACTCGGGCCCCATACAACCCTGCAATCTAAATGATGTTACATGTGCTGCAACATCCATCATCTCTCAGCATAGCTAAGGGGAAGCCAGAGGAAACTAAATAGAACATAATTATCTTTATGAGCCATATTAGTAAGATATGACAGATTCCTCCGCAGACTGCAGGAGGTGACACAGTCTGAGGACCTGTCTGCGAGGGGTTCCCCAGGTCCTCAGTAGCCTTTCCCTGTATACTTCTGGCTTCCACTAAATATTCAAGGTTGATCAGAATTCCCAAATAATGAAATGTTGGTTTTAATCTTTCCGGAAATGATGCAAGACTCACTATCTTCTTAGAGCAATCTTAGCACTCACTGCACCCCATCTACATTTTTCCACATCCTCTCATTAGAGGGTGCTGAGAAAAGTTGTTAAAAATCGGAAGATCATGAGCTTGCAAGATTCAACCTTAAGTTGAAGTCAACAGGAGTTTTATTAATGATTACACTGGAATAGTATTAGAAATAAGATCTACTCTATTTTAGGATCAAAAATAATTCATTTGTTTAGGGGTGGACCCTCAAAGAGCGAAAGTAAAGAGAGACTTGGTTCTCTGCTTCTCCTGATTGCTACCAAGACTGCCTGCTACTTCTGTAACATTTTAAAGCAACGGTAAAACAACCATTAGGCATGTAAACATTTACAGCTTATCATATGCGGAGAGACCAGCAACATACTTTAACTTCTGATCAAGACAGTCATCATTTCCTTAGATGTACAGAAACTACTTGAAAAATTCATAAGATCTGTTTCACAAATTACCAATTCAACCGTAAGAATATATAGTAAAAATGACAAAAGATTTGTTCTTATAGTTGATAAAAAATTTATGCCAAGGCATTCAAGTAAAGTTACTTTCTGTGTTCTGATTTAATGAATCATTTGAGTGGTATCTGGCTGGGTGACACAGATGTAAGGCTCGCTGAAGCCTGCTCTAATGCCTGCTGGTACAGTCTTTCCTGGGACAGCAAAGCCAGAACAATGTGTCAGGCTGAAGTAATATCAAGGAAAGCAAGTGCAGTGCTGGGGATGCCACGAGGCCGGCCCACAACGCTTCTTGACCTGTGAAGGTCTGTAAGTACTTCTCTGTCCCACAGGCTCCAGTGACCCAGGAAGCCCAAAAGCAGCAGCAGCAGTGTGGTAATAAACAGTCTCTGGAATAAGATTTTTTTTTTTTTTCAATCTTGTAATTCAAGCTGAAAGACACACAAAGATTGCTTGATGGTTTAACCCCACTGAAAGGCAGGGCCTGACACTGTGTGCAACCACCAGTGATTTCTTAGAAGGTGAACTAATGTTAAATGTTTAATACAAATTGGTGAGAGAACTGTTTTACACACTGCAAAGTTTGTAAAAAAAAATAAATATAAATTAAGGAAGTTACTGGATGCACATGACTACAGCTTTTATAGATCACGCCTCTGTGTATCTTACTGAGAGACGCTACTATAAAAATCAGGCTTCCCATTAGGAAAACCCCTGGAAAGAATTTACTTCTACAGTAAGCAGAACAAAGCTAAGTAGGACTGTAGGCACTGTAGTATCATAATCTTAAGCAGTAGAGCTAACCCTCATAAAAATAAAACAGTATTACTTTCAGAAATTTGGGATTTGCTATAAAAGCTTTCCCCTCCCAAGAAGGTTTGCCAGAAGATTCAAACATATTAAGAAGCACACCAAATCTTTATGGAAATAATTTTACTTAAATCGTGAAAGCAAAATCTTTTAAGATATTAGAAGTAGAATGAGAAATTAAAAGTGTAACAGTTACGCCAAATCCAAGTAATACAATACATAGCATTTTGTCCTACTGTCAAAGAGGGAAGAATGTTTGTCAGCAGCAATTGGAGGAGTGAAGTTTACTCCTCCTTCACTCCACCAGCCCTCTTTAAAAAATCCCTAAAGCTTAACTTTTCTTTTGCTTTGTTCATTGTTCACATGGTGTTGCAAGTGGGACAATCCTGTTTTGCCAAGAGAATTTAGCTCATTTGCAGGAAAAAAACATTCTGTTGATTTTCCAGTTAATTAAAAAAACCTCCTTTTATCTGAAAATTAAATCTTGTCTCATTAAGACAGGTTCGTTAAGATGGTTGTGTATGATATTAAAGGGTACTTACACAGATAACAAAACAATAGCAATGAGAGTCCATTCTGGCATTTTGTGAATAATATTTCTGTTTGTTAACCTGGAAAAAAAAAAGGAAAAAAATCAGAAAATTTCAGAGTGAAAATAAACAGACTTTTAACTGCTGAATATTGATTTAAGTCTACTTTAAGACTTAATAGACTGAATTACAATGTAGCAATCCATATACATAAACAAAAAGCTGTATCTGAGCAATTCACCAACTTTGAGGCTTCTCTCATCTTACCCTGTAACAGAGGAATCAAAGAATCCTCAGTATGCGTCTTTTTTCTGCATGAAAGTGGGATGGGGAAGACTGGACAGAAGGTGATTCTTTGAACTGGCTCGCAAGCAATCCTGGCTGCTATGAGGGCTCAGCTCTCAACTCATACCCACTGGGAAATTCTCAGGAACTGCATGGGTGTTTCTGAAGGGACAGGCCTTCCTACGCAAGGTTTGCCCCTCTATTTGCTTCAGATTCAGATTTGCTGTAAAAGCTAATGTTGCGGAAACAGACAGGATTTTATAAGATACTGGAGACAATCCTGTCATGATTCTTGTTTTTACCGTCGAAAGCCAGTATTCTAACTGATGGAATGGGAGTCAGTGCAGATATAAGAGCAAGAAAGTGAGGTTTGAATCAAGAACCACAGGGGTGTTCCCACAGACGTGCTGCTGCATTTTATACCTGCTGACCCATTTGGCTGAACTTCGTGACAAGACCGATCTGCTTTAAGTCAGATGTTAATCTGACTTGAAACAATTCATGTGTGAATTGCTATGGCTAAATTTAGGCATGACCCATGGCATTTAAGACAGGCAATTTAGTGGAAAAGTCACAGCTAAATACAAAGCTGTGGCTATGCAGGCACCCAAAAAAGGCTAGCACAATTAATTTTATTCAGACAGATGGGGCCATCCAACAGAAATACTAAGGGGCGACTGCCTCCCAATGTTTGCTTCCTTCTTGCTCTCAGCTTCCCTTTTAGGCAGGCTTATATAAATTCAGATGCAGAATGAAGCTGCCCTGTCAGCCATACCCACTACCAGGCACTGGTGAAGATGGGAGGTTGCTTAAAATGAAATACCTGGCAACAAATTCAAATCCAGAGTTTTCTTCCCCAGTAAGATTTTAATTATAATTATTATTTTAATTTTCTTTGGGCAAGCATATAGTTAACCAACAAAGGTGTTACAAAGTGGAAAAATAAAAGTATATCTACTTGCCCTTGTTAAAATTCAAATTTTGTTAAATAATTCCCCCAAATTATATTCAAAAAGGTCATTAAAAATGTAGTTATGAGTAAGATACTTTATAGGATCATTTTGTATTTCTGTATTTCAGAAAGATATTAAAATTAATATAATTATTTCTTCTTTAAGGATAATAATGATCAAACCAGTATTATCCTTTTTTTCTCCTCAAATCTTCAGGTGTTCGAATCAAAGTAAGATTTTGAAGCGATGATTACTCAAATAGTGTCTTCACAGCCTGAGTCTTGTTAAATGATGGAAGTAAAAGCAATGTTTTGGACTACATGTACAGGTATCGTCATATCAAACTACAACCAACTGCAAATACTGATTATTTTTGTTATCAAAAGATTCAACTCTACCAACTACTATTTAAAATAGCTAATGGTGTTAGCTGGCAAGAACGCTTGTACCTGGTAAACCCTTACATCTTTCTGGCTAGAGAACAAGAGACAAAACAAAGGCTGAACGTCTTGACTCAACACTGATGGCAGTGATAAACACTACCACGAAATGCCTGATGGAATCATCTTGACAGGCAATTCATATGTAACATTCCAGTTAATCTGCTATGATGAGACACAATGGAAGAGACAGCTCCAGGCCACCTGGGAAAACTCTGTCAAACAGAGAAAGCAGCTTTATTTCAATGCTCTACAAGGAGTTATTATTGATTAGAGCACACGAAGGTGTCATTCTTGTACACAAACTGAGGGATGCAGTTATTTGTGTCAATTAACTCTTATTCAATGTTAGTATTGATTGGCAAGGTCTGAACACTAGTCGCTGCCATCAATATGCTATTTATGAAGGAGGTAGTCAAAAGACACAGATAACCAGCAGGATACAGCAATATGGATCTGCTGATGTACTGCTGTCACTGGACTGGATGAACAGCCAAGTCAGCCTTTCACAATGAGTAACCTTTCAAGTACAACACCTGTCCTAAAGCACTCGTGCAGCTGAAAAAAAAACCAAACCAAAACCACTTCAGACAGATCAGACTAAAGCTAGCAACCTACAGGTGTGAAGCCTTAAATAATAAGGAGCAGTGGAAGGGCAGCCACCTTCAAAAACAAGCTGTGTGTCAACACCAAGGCCTCCGAAGAGCAAAGCTTTCAGAAAACAGGGAAGCGCAAGTCCCCTGTAAAAATGGTGCATTAATTCTTTGTCTTGTCTCCAGCCAAAACCGTTACTTCAGAGCAATCCATGAAAGACAGGTCACTAGATTCCTGTCGTAAACATGTAACGTGGAGAAGTTAAAACTCTACAAGACTTTGTGTACGTGATTAGAGTTTTGCAGAGAAGTATTTTCTGTGAAAGCGTTTGGCTGAGCTCCTCCTCACCTACCCAAAGAAAGAAAATAACGTGCAACTTTTCTAAAGAGAATGACTAATTTCTTGGTCTCTGTAGGGCAGGATAGGTATGCCAAGAAGGTTGGATGATTCCAAACAGCTGTGTGGGTTGCTCAGTTGCTAGTTTGTGGGTGCTGTGGCTCACCCCAGCGAGATGCACTGGAGCATCTTGACAGCTTCCACCACCCAGTAGGTGGTTTTAATACCCTGTGAAGGAGCTCAGACTGAGCAGATAGATCCAGCGGCAGAAGCTGACAAGATAAAGGACTAAAGATGGATAAAAATTTCATCCCAAACGAGCTCCCTATAAGTGACTAGTACCTGGCCTGCAAAGAAAGTGAACTCCAATACAGAGGTGGTAGGAATACAGTGGAGTCCAAGGTTAAAGTAACCTGTAAATAAAAAAAGTAAACCCAAAAATGACAGAACAAGAGCATACACAGTTGATTCTACTTCTTTACCTTTAGCTGTCTTCCCATTTAGTTACCGTCAGCCACAAATACTGCTAGCAGCACTCCATTAGCAAATGATGGCCTGATTTGTAAACAGTGCCTGCTGTGGCAGCTAATTAAACACATCCCTGAGCTCCCACAACAAACTCCAAGTTACAGGAAAGAAACTCAACAATGGAGGAATTCACCACCCTTCCCTCAGCAGGATTACATTCTCTGGGATTTCTAGGAAACAATTTGTTAACAGGAACACCGTCCAGTGGGGAATAGCAGATGGACACCAGGATTATTATGCTAAATGGTTATGCCCTAACAGGACCCTAGCATCAGGTATTATGAACAAGATGCAGGAAAATGTAACTGGTTAATATAAACCAATATTTTTAAAGTATATTGTTCTTTATACCTATTTATAGATTATAGTCCTGCTATTTCCTTTTCTAGAAGTTTGTTTATCCTTACAATGAGAATATACTTGTCATCTCTGAATCTATGAGCTCAACTGTTAACATACTATGAATTTGACTAATAGCTAGTAGCAACAAGTTATTGGCACTAAATGTACATTTGTTGAAAAAAAGAGTCCTTGAAGAGGTGCATGCTTGCTGTCTTTCAGTTTTACCTGTTATGTCCATGTTCTTACACTAGGAGAAAAAAAAAATGTGTTCCAAAAAGAGATTTTCTCTCTTTCTTTCTTTTTACAATTCATCTTTGTTGCAAAGTGAAGTCATCAGCAGATGTTCAGTGTCCATGATAAGCTCCATTAAAGGAATGAAATACTTGCAACCATAAGATACAGATGAAATCCTATTTTCGATATGAAATACTACGCTTAAAAATCCAAACCCCACACTCAAACATAATAATTTAGCTTCAATTTATATATAAATAGCTAATTTTCTCTTGATCTTTTAACAAAGTGCCCTTACACACTCTGGAGAATTATCTGACATCTCAGTTTTCGTAACAAAAGCTTACAGGCACTGAGGGACTTGGTTTGGGAAGAGCTCTAACCATCCTAAAATGTCTCTTGAGATCCCTCTAGTGCATTTCCCAGCAGTGGTGATTGAATAAAATGTTGCCCAAAGGAGGCTGAACTGCAAGTGTTCCTTTAAAAACCAATGGAGCTGAAAATCGTTGTTGCTTAGTTCACCACATGCTCTTTTACCCTTCTTCAGCTAAGCTCTACTACAGCCACGTGTTTTGTCTCCTACCCTCCTTGGCAAGTGCTTCAGCCTGAAATATTTCCAGTACAAAAAGCAGGAAAGAGCACTAGCATTTGTCAGTGCTCCCTCCAGCCATAAAATATTTTAACCACATTACAAAGGAAGTAATGTTTAAATTTCTGTACCCTGCAAACATAAATACCGTTAAAAATTTATCCTAGCACCTCCTGCCAAACTGTTCACCCTAAGTTCAGAGACATCTCACATTAAGTAAATTTAAACCTATGTATAGAACTGGAGATGCAAATCTATGCCTTCATCTTAATATCCATGAGCTAGCTAGAAATGCAAGAAGGAAAAAGGACCCAAAGGTTTTTATTCCTTTCCCATATGCTGTATTTTATATTATTGTACTATCAGTGACCAAAAACCTCCATTTATATATAAACATATAAAGGCACTTACAAATTGTTGTGTAGTGCCCACAATGGTCTTCAGCCATCCCCCACCCAAAATGCTGAATTTGTAAATAATTAATTTGGAATTTTCACAGTACGAGAGCCCCAAAGGGTTGCTACCATTACCTACAACTCACACCCTAAAAAAATAAAAAAAGACTTAAAAATAAACTTAGAAAATGTTATCTGAGGGATGAGAAATAGATCAGGGGACACTTTTAAAATATGATAAATTATTGCTACATGAGAAAGGTGCTGGGAGCGAAGTCCAAATTAATTAGATTTCGTTCAATTCTGTAAAGCCACAGGTGTGTATATATGTTTTTAGAAGTCCATTTTGGCTTCAAGGCTCTTCACTATAAACCACTTCTAAAACTTCATATTCAGGCCACATCGTCTCTGAATAGAAAATGTTCTGCTTTTGAGAACCTCCAGCACTTCTTACATAATCAGTCATAGAAAAAGTAGACAGAAAGAGACAAAAATGTACTTTTTCCAGTTCTATCAATCCATAAGCTAAAGTGACTGTTAAGCATTTAGACTGCAGAGCAACAAAACTGTTTTAAATTTTAAAACACAAAGGTCTTATTCAAGTAGTAGGTACATATAAATGCTGCTCCAAGATAAGCAAAAATACCTTCCCCGATTTGTGTTGTTGTTAAAAAAAAAAAGGGTTAACCACACCTTAAAGACTGCAATTACAGAGTCAAACTCAAACACTAACAATTCTAGTCACCAGAAAGGAAAAGCCTATCTTCCACAGTAAGGAGCCGTACATACGGAGAATCTGAGTTTTAGTGGCGTCCTTCCAGATGTCAGATAAAGCATAAGGAATCAGGTACAGATGAATTCCTATTCACCAAAGCCTAGATTCTTTGTGGCAAACACCACATGAATGAGTTTTTGAAAATTTACATGTAAACCTTACGCAGGTTGGGCACGTCAAGTGACAGTGTACACAGAGTTAGCAACTGTTGTTGCTCCTTTTCCTGACAGAACAAGATGTAGGACATGAACAAGGTCCAAGTAATGAGAGTTATGTCCCAAAGAAAACCTAAACATCTTCAGAAAAGTTACCACCATTATATTTTCCCTCCTTCTTGATCTGTGTTTCCAACTACTGTCTTTAGTGCTTCTGACTGTGCAGAAGGTTCATCTGTGGTGACAGTGTCCACTAGATCTACTTTCCCTTGAAATCAGGAACAAGATGGGTCAAACTGGACCTTCTTCCTGGCTCTAGAAGTTATCAGTAACAGTTATTAATCACATTAAAACCATTTAGCCCAGCTTAGGGAGCCAGAGCAAAAGAAAGTGACAGATCTCAGAAACTCAAGCTTAATAGGAGGTGACGAGGTAGCAGAACCTTTAAAAGACTCACCATCATCCTCCAGAGACCACTGGCCTAGTTTTTAAAAATCTACAAATACTCTTGGTGACCTAGCCACTGTCAGGAGCAGGGAAAAGGTTGACTTGTTAGCCCACAGGGAACGTGACATTACCTACATGAACACATGGCTAGAAAAAGGCAAATCTGCAGCGGGGCCCTCTCTGTGCCCAAACCGCAAGTCATTCAACAGCATGTTTAATTAATCAATCATGAAGAATCTCTAAAGACCGATACTCACCGGAAAGTTCTGACAAGATTTTTTAGCTCTGTGTAAACATCACCTGGAGTAATCTCAAGAGGTCCCAAAACTGCAGGTAATCTGGAAAGCAAAAGACACCAGTCAATATACATTTTTCTCTCTTTCTCATTTCTCCTCAAACAGAACTTCGACCAAAACTCAGGAAAGTTAACAAAAACCAAAAGAGATTCATCTTTGTACTGCAGATCAGGCCTGTAGTTTACAATTCAGATTCCTCTGAGTGGTGTTTGGGCCACATCTTTGCTTTATAACAGCTTGAGTTCAGTATGAACATGAAGAAATGAAATACAGTTTTACCTGCATAATCTATCTGTTCTGACAAGATGTTCTTACCAAAAGAATCAAAGAGTTTACATAAGAAGAGTTAGAATTTCAGGCCTCATAACCATTGCAAATATTTGAAATAAATATTTGCTTCAAAAATAACAAGACAAAAGGAAACTACATGGCTAAACGAGGTTTGCACAGAGAATATATCTGCTGACCTCACACTCACATATACGCAACAGAAATAGCATTCCAGTCTAGGCCTGGTAGTTGGAATCAAGATGATAGTAGAGTAATTAGAGAATTAAAAAAAAAAAAAGACAAATTGCCTCCCCACTTGATGGTGCATAAAAATTGATACAGAACACAACAAACTGCACATACTGTTTAACTAGTCGTCAGTATCCTCAAATGCTGGAAATAACAGGATTTGTTTTTCACATTTAGGATGAAACTTCTGCCTCTATTTACTTGTTTAATAGTTAATATCCTCCTGCATTTGAATATCCAGTTCTTTACATTTAGATGCATATATGCACATAGTGCATCAATACTGCTGGAAGAATCAGAATTTCTATTCTCCATCACATCACTGCACGTTCTACAAAACCTGAACAAAGGACTCTTACAATGCTGGGCATATTCATATTCCCACTGACTTCATTTGAACACACCAAGAAATCATTGCTTTATCGCGAGGAAAATTGTCTCTCTTACTTGAATGTGACAGGACTATTGCACCACCTCCTAAAATTTAAGAAGACCAACTAAACAAGGGAATAGCCAAGACTAAAACCTTTGAAGAAACTAAGAAAAAAAAAATGTGTCTTTCTTGTCCTCTATTTATGGAGTACCAGACTTGTAAGTTCAATGGAAATTTTGCTAGAAGCTGAACATGACGGACAAACTTGTGGAAAAATCTGAAGGAGCAGAGAAACTGCTTTAGCCTACAGTAGCAGTCCTTGGAATCTGTGTGACATTGACATTTACAGAAAGATCAGAGACAGACCCCTTTTTTGCAGCATGCTTTGGTTCCATGTTTGTGCCCACACTTGCTGCAGGTAGAGAGAAACAGAATGGAGATTTTTTTTTTTGGCAGTTTTGGTTGTGGTTTTTAGTTTAAAAAAAAAAAAAAAGCTTCTGCAAAATCTAGTTTGGCGAGCTAACACAAACTACAACCACAGAAAAGTAAAATAGCCCTAATAAAAACACTGCAATCATGGCCAATGACACTGACAACGGGAGTATTTTCAAGGTCCTCTCAACTTCGGCAATTTAATAATTTTAATAGCTACAGCAGATGCCTTCACCTCTTTTCTGGGGCTCCAAAGCCCTTTTATGTATGTGGAAAAGGTCTGGTGTATGGAAAGTTTTAAGATTCAGTTCTGAGGGCCTTTAATGGTTGCAGCCAGAGGCATACTGATACCAGCCATCCAAACATGGGCTAGAAATTCTCTTAGCAAGACCTTTGCTTAAACTATTACGATGTTTGAAAACACCACTTCCTTCTGTGTAGATTTGTTCACCAGTAACATTATGCTTAATGTACAGGACAAATACTTGCAATCTTCCCAATCAGCTTCAAGTTTTTCAGTTTAGACTTGACCAGTTGGTACATACAGCTACTTACATATTTTATGTCCCTCAGAATCTGCTTTTAAACAATACAAGAATCTACATAGTTTACATTATTTCCAGGTAACTGAGGGTAAGGGGGACGACAAATACAGGGCTTGCTGTGGAATTGTTTTTTTGAACCACATATTCTCATTTTATGCTCCATGTGTTATATCAACATGTAGATCCAAAACCCACAGACATTTTCAGTGTAATGGCACAATTGTGTTGACTTCTGCCAACTACTGAAGAGTGGGGACATGCTGTCACGTCAGTCTGGAATGCTGCCAACTACAAGCTCCAATGCCTGTAAGCGAAGGACAGGTTCCTTCTGGAGAACACCTCAGAAATGAGATTGTGACACCCACCTCAGCAGGCAAGCTGAGATCCACAACAGTACCACAGGCTGTCTCAGGAATAAATAAGTTCTTTAGGGCAATAACGGGTTTAAGTTATGACTAAGGCCAACTAGAAAAAGCCAGAACATCCTTGCACAGTGTGTTTGTTACTTGACACGATGACGAATGAGCACCAACTTCAGCTTGATGTTTACCAAAGTAAAGGCTACTTACGCTTTTCTCAGTTTTTCAAGGACAATTCGCTTTCTAATCTGCATTTGTGCATTCGCATCAACAAGTGGGAAGGTGAGGTCTTCATGTTGATCATCCTGTATTAGACAAAAACCAGATATAACATAGTATTTAATTAAACTCAATGCAACGAGAGAGTCTCAGCTTATCAATAAATGTTTAAACATAAGAAAACTTTTTTCTCCGAATACAAAAAAGCCCACCCAACCAGTAATTTCTTAATGGACAGAGGTGGCAGCTGACCTAGTTTTCCCCTTCCATATGCTAGATACTTTAATTGAACTAATGGTAAAATTCCTTCAAAACATAAGTCAGAGTAAATTTTTGCCAAGAAGCAATGTAATAGCTTTGTTTTACAAGAAGCAGCATTATGAAAATTATACCCTCTGATGCTAGTATCACACTTGGACTTTAAAAGCAAGAACAATGTCACATGCCAGTACAAGCTGCACAACCCACCTCGCATAGTCAGCATACTGTTTTACAGTAGTGACAAGAAAACCCAGCTGCTGTCAGCAGGTTTGTCTGACCTGGAAGGGGTAAAAACCTCAGACCACTCTATTTCTTGCAAATAAAGTCTGCGAGTCCTCCTGAGGTGTTTTTCCAAACTGTCTGAATTGCAGCAACATATCCAAACAAATCAGCAGGTTCCAACTCAGAGAATTTCAACAGTAAGTAATGCCAGAGATCTAGTCTTACTCAAGAAAGAAATGCCACCTGAAGTGTACCTTGTCAGGAATAAAAACCAAGAAATCATTAAATAAAAATTGTATTTGATGAATCAAAGGAGGGAGGGGAAAAAAACCCAAACATGTTCCTTCCTCACCCAAAGTCTACTCGTCTTACAACGGATTGTTTCATCTAAGCAACCTTTACTATTTTCATGGTTCACAAACTGAAAGACAGTCATGAAAACTGAATGTGTCCCAGTCATACAAACCTATTCTTACCAATCTAAAATATGATTTTTCAACCTTATGGGATTGTTGTGAATCTAGCCAGCCTTCCTTTTATTATTTTACATTAATAGCTTGATGTTACCTTGTCCATATCCACTTATGATGACAGAAACAAAGAGCCTGTAATACTTCTTTGAAGGCAGGTTTTACACAGCCTCAACACCATCCCACTAGAGAGACACTTACTTTGTCTTTGCTTGTATGTTCCTCCTGTGCATGTGTCCCCACCTCTTCAGCCAAGACGCACTTTCCTTTATAGAACTCTTTTACTCGGAGTTCTAGGAACTCTGTTTCTTCTTTTAACTTCTCGTAACTAGGCACAGGCTTAACTATTCTGCCTGGGCTTGTGAAAGGTAACGAATAGTTCAAATTGTTCTCAGACCGCCCTGCGGCAACCGTGTTAAGATCATCAGCTGCATCGAAGTCATCCTCATCGAGTCCTTCATTCTCCTGGTTGGCAGATGACACGCATTCTGATGAGCATGAAGAAGTGTAGCTTGGACCATAGAGAAATTTTAAAGTTTCCTCTGTTCTCCATTCCGTAAGTGTTTGCTTAAGCACTTCTAATAAACTGCCTTTGGAATTAACTGGATCCCTTAGTTCAGATTTTTTATGTTCTTTTGAGTTAGATAGTGTTCTTTTAAGATGTTCTGCCCCTCTTTTGCTCACACCTAGAAAGACTATGTGCGAACCACTATAGGCATGTTCATACTTCTCTGAAGCACCTGATTTTCCTAGAGTAGTATGTTTTGAAGGCGTTGCAGTTATTTTATTATGAACAGAGCAAGCATACATTTCTTCCTCAGCATCTAATTTACAGTTAGATAGTTGTTCGGTGGCTTCTGCCACGCCCGAGTCTTCAGTTTTAGGGCTGGAATAGACTTTCTGAGCATGCTTCTTTTTGAGGATACTGTTTCTGGGCAATTGCTGTGCCAAACTGGCTGAACTTGACTGACTTGCTGGTAGGACAGAAGAAATAAATTCTTGTTCAGTATCACTGCTGCTATCACTGGCTGTGTCATGAGAACCAGATTCACATGGATTTGAAGGTATCCTAGGATTTTCTATGTCAGAAGCTTTAATTACTTCATCACATAGTTTCACTTCTTCTCCAGACTGTCCACTGTAAGGAAAGCACAAGCGATCAATGAAATAAGATACAGGTATTACTTTTAATAGCTTTTCATTGTTGTATAAGAAAAATAAAGCAAAAAGAGTACACTTCTATTATAAGGGAAGAATGTTTTGTTTAAGAATCATGACCATTCTTCTGAAAGTCTTCGCAAACTTAGAGTTGTAACGTTCTCCAATCAAGATGACAATATTTAGAGAGGTGGATTCTCAGGTGCTTCTCGGCAGTCAGAAAAGAACAGTAAATAAGATATTACTAAAGACAACAGAGTAATGTCAGAGTTAGGATGATGAATAGTGCAATTTTAAAATGAAGATAGGCATATAACATATACGAATATAATACCCTCAACTCAGGGGCACAGCAGAGTTGTTTCTAGCGTATGTAAGTTTGCCACCTAATGGCCATGTGTTGCAAAAGTAAACAAGCAGAAAGTCACAATACACAGCAAGGTACAGAGAGATGACAGAAAGGCATGATTTCATTTTAGCTGATACAGATGTTTTAGATTAAGAAGTACAGAAGCTTTCATCACATATAATTGGTACCATTTTCTTTATGAAGAATAGATGGTATAAAATATGCACTGTACAAACAGCGTATTTGTTTCAGATTTCAACAGGCTCAATGAAGACACACAGGCCAAGAGCAGCTGTACACTAAATCATACAGATCAAATACGCTGGTTTAGAATCACAAAGGCAAAAACTAAACAAGACAAAAGATCCTTTGTGTAGGTGCAAATAAGGTCTGGCCTATAACAAAGGAAATCAAAAGATTCCCCTTTCCCCTGCTATGATGCCAAAATAATAAAAAGAAACATCGTTTAGTGTACCTCTGTCCCTCCTTCAGCAGCTCTATGTCTGGTGGTCTGCAGAAAGAAGACACAGAATGAACATTTTCCTGCTAAATCAATGCTCTTGAAATACACATCAAAACATAAAATATATAGTTGAGGCTGGAAGGTTTCCGGAAACTCTAAGAAGGGTAACTGAACAAATTTTGAAGTGTTTGTTTCTAAAGTTCAATTTGCTGTTTATCTGCTTCAATTCAGTTGAGGCAGCATCACAATGCTATTCGTTCTATCCAACAATAAAGGTTGGAAACCTCACCCACCTGTCCTATGAATGAAAGAAACAGTTTTAAGCATGCACTAAAGGCAGGCCAATGCACTAACACCTCTCAGACAGTATACAAAAAAAGTATGAAAAGATGAAAGCTGCACCACTCACATGAATGAACTGAGTTGGGAAACTAAAGTTGATAACACACTGTGATTTGAATTATTAACTCCATATAACTGTTCTTCAGAGTTTTAAGTGGAGGTTGTAGTCTTTTCTGTCAAAAAAAATTCACATATCCTAACGTGTAAGCGTTTATCAGTGTGTGCACAAGCATGGGGTTGTGCAAACAGCTATACCTAGCCATAAAATATCTGGGGTTTTGTTTGGTTTGTTGAAAATACCATCTCTCCCCTGCTCCCCAGCATAAATAATTAACTACAAGAGGCATGTCACACTTCCAATGTTAAGAATAAAGGGAGTTTTAAAGACTATTTTCTTTAAAGTCCATAAAACGAGCACAAAAACACAGGGAAGCTTACTTAAACGTTTAATGAAGAGACTAATCCCTCAGATCCCATCAGGCTGCTCTCGTTGATCAGATATTTCATATGACTGATATAACTGTGAAACCAAGCTCACACACAATTTCAGCTAGTTTCTTTTGTTGAAAACCAGGAGACTACGAAAAGCAGCGTCTTGGAGAATAAAGCTGAATGAATTTAGCTGAACATTCTCCATTTATTGTTAAACAGTGACACCCATTGGCTCAATTAATTACTTGCAAGCCTGTGTTTCCTACGCTAGGAACATGGACTGCATCACACTGTTCCAAAATGAATACTGCAGTAACAGCAGGAAATGGGCAATCTGAAATGAAGAGTTTTAAGACAGGATAAAGAACATCCTCATGTTACAGTCTGCTTTCAGGTGCAAGGATTCACAGCCTACCTTAAGACCAATGCCAAGTGCTGTACTAAAATTAGAAAACCTCTTTTACCAGGACAGATGAATTCTTCCTGTACGCCATATGGTTTGTAAAAATCCAATCCTAGTAAACACCTTTTAAAGTTAATAGGAGTTGACTATTATTTATGGCTAGTCTGCCCTCTTTTGTAACATGGTCAAGTCTACTGGGTGGTTATTAATTTGTACTGAGTTGTGCCACTTGTGATCAATATGGCAACAACACTTTTAAAACAAACACCATGCTAAGCTAACATGTTAATATCAGTTACCTCTGCTTCAGCCTAATCACTTGGATGCAGTGTAGCTAATTAATTAGCATTGCGGCTTGGATAGAGAAAATAATATTCTCAAGAGAAGCAGTGAATGTATATAAGGTTATACTTACTTCTCTTCTTCTCGTATCCATACTGGACTTCTGGAGATTTGAGCTTCAAAATATTTAGATGCTCTATAGCAAAAGTTGCTGCAAAAGCACTGGAAATAAGGAAGGAAACATGACTAAAGACATTGGGTTTTATGCCTTTAAAATTTAAGTACCAGTTCACATTTCTTTTTAAGCCTATGACCAGGTGTTTAATTCACTTAGAGACACCAAATCTGTCAAACTGGTCTATCCCACTCCCCACAAGCCATTTGAAGCCTCCCTTTTCCCCCCACTTTTCTGTTTTCTGCACTTTTATTACATACTGAGAAGCAAACAAGTGTTGGGAGTCTACATAATAAATTTTAAAAACTCCCAAAACTGTTCAAAGAGCCCAAAACTCGTCAAAGAGCAATCTGTAACCCAACAAGGTGGTCATAAAGATATGCAATAAAATTCAGGGGTTGTGCTGGTTTTAGTCAGGACAGAGTTAAATTTTCTTCACAGTAGCTGGTATGAGGCTGTGCTCTGGATTTGCCCTGAGAAGAGTACTGGTAACACTGGTGGTTTTTAGTTGGTGCTAAGAAGTGTTTGTACAAATTCAAGGACTTTTTCAGCTTCTGATACTGCACCTGCGTTCCCACCTCACTCGCTACAGGCAGTGTGGGGGCACACACAGTTCAGACAGCTGACCCAAACTGACCGAAGGAGCATTTCATTCTACTGAATTGTCATGCTCAGTATATACGCCAGAGGCCCAGAGCCAGTTCACTGTGCGTTAGTTTGTTAGTGGGTAGGTGAGCCAGTGGCTGTGTGGTAATTTATTGCTAGCTGAGGTTAAACCATGACAAGTGTTTAATAATGAAAATTTCTGTTGGCAACACAACTTGAATGTTTAGCAAAACTAAACAGTATCTTTCGCAGTATCTTTTAAAAATTAATTTGCACACTTGCATATATCAGGTAACGAGACAAAACATCCCACTTCTTGGAGTATTGCTTAGTAACTTGAGAAAGCCATTCCCAGAATTGTGTGTATCCCAGAGTTGTAACCAGAGGAAAGGAATATATAGTAGCAACACTGAAAAAATTTGTTCTGGAACTAGAAACATTTATCCTACAATTTAGCATATAAGCACCCATAAGTAACTGCATATCCTATGAGCAAAGATGACTTTTACTCACCATATACATGCATATGCTTGAAGAAAGAAACAGGCTTTGTGAAGACATAGGTTTTACATTGGAAAGCCCTCAAAAAAGAACCCTAAAGGCAGTAACACCAAGGAATGCATGAGGTATATCTTGTATTACACTACTGCAATTCAGTGAATGACAAGGATGTGCACTTTGACCCTACTAAAGCTCATTGACTATACTGGAGCAAAGTAAGAGAACACTTCTTCACAAATGTCTTTAACAGATCAGCTGTATCACATTTAAAATGCTATCCAAGTCAAATTTTCAATGTTATGTAAAAGAAAAAAGTGAGTTTTTGTCCTTCCAAAGAGAGCATCTAGAAACTGAAATGCATAAAGAACTTCATATTCTAACAGCTCATGAAAATGACTTTCACAGTAACCAATCATACTGGCTCTCCATCAAGCCACCACATGAACGCTTTTACAAAATGCACTTCTGACATTGAGACACGATTAAATACATTTTAGAAATAGACTTACTACCATACCTTTCTTTCAGTGATATCATAAACTCTGTTTGTTTTTGTTGAAATTCTGTACTTCTGTTTTGGCACCTAAAAAAATATGCTTTCATCAGCAAGACTTATTTCCATTGTGACTTGACAGAAAACTTAATTCACATATTTTAAGATGTGTAATATGTTCCATTTTATCTTAACTGCATACTGCAACCACCTCTTCTCTCAGTTCTTTTGATATTGTACCTTCTCAGATGCAAGAATGGCAATTTATTGTCTCACTATCAGTAGAAGACAACTTCAGATCTACAAGAAAGCTAGCACTGGACATAAAACAACACAGCTGTCCTGGCAGAAACCTTACTCATGTGTAACTGTTGCTCAAGTACAGACGGGTCCTTCTTTAATCCATATCTATTTATATGCACATGCGACTGTACTGTCAGAGACCCCCACCTCTACTCAGACAAACCCATAGTCATCTTTATTACTGTCAAACGAGATGCTACCTGATTCTGTCATACAGTAATGGTTGTCAACTGATCAGGTTTCACCTTTTACTTCAGAAGGGTTATAACGAAATGGAATAATATGATGCCTGGTCCATTACTTGACAGTATTTTAATCTATGTTTAATACAATAAGTTTGAAATTAAAGAGAAAATGCCAGAGAATAAAAATCATGAACAGATTCTTAAGTTAACAGCATGAATAAAAAGCAACTTACATTTTCCAGTTTATTTTGACATAGAGGATAACCACACAGTTTGACGATAGATCGTTCATCAACAACATCTTTGTAGTGAGATGGAGTAATACATTTTCCCTAGAATAACAACAAAATAACAACAGATAATGGAAAAATGTGTAATTTTTCATACTCAAAACATCTTATAATGTTTTTTTATAATTAAAAATAAATATTTTTAATTTTGTAAGAGTTATTTACTAAGTTAAATAAACAACATTTAGAATCTACACAGTACAAATGGTAAAAGGATAAACAGGGAAGCAGGAAAGACATGGCCGCTTCTTTTTTACATAAACGCAAGATTAGGAGGCTCTTCTATATTTGCACCTATTTTCATAACTTTCTTCTAGTTACATGTTTTCTTGGGGCCAGTCTTGTTTAACATATTTATCAATGGTCTGGATGAGGCGATTGAGTGCTCCCTCAGTATTATGCTTGCAGATGACACTAAGTTGGGTGGAAGTGTTGATCTGCTGGTGGGTAGGAGAGCCCTGCGGAGGGACCTGGACAGGCTGGATCGATGTGCTGAGGTCAATTGTATGAGGTTCAACAGGGCCAAGTGTTGCATCCTGCATTTAGGTCACAACAACC